GCTGGCTAAAAGCTAAAGTACCACAAAGTATCACAAGGCTAGATAAAAGCTAAAGTATCACAAGGTTAGATAAAAGCTAAAGTATCACAAGGCTAGATAAAAGCTAAAGAATCACAACGCTAGATAAAAGCTAAAGTATCACAAGGCTAGCTAAAAGTTAAAGTATCGCAAGGCTAGATAAAAGCTAAAGAATCAGAATGCTAGCTAAAAGATAAAGAATCACAAGGCTAGATAAAAGCTAAAGAATCAAAAGGCTAGCTAAAAGCTAAAGAATCCCAAGGCTGGCTAAAAGCTAAAGTACCACAAAGTATCACAAGGCTAGATAAAAGCTAAAGTATCACAAGGTTAGATAAAAGCTAAAGATTCATAAGGCTAGCTAAAAGCTAAAGTATCACAAGGTTAGCTAAAAGCTAAAGTATCACAAGGCTAGTTAAAAGCTAAAGTATCACAAGGCTAGATAAAAGCTAAAGAATCAGAATGCTAGCTAAAAGCTAAAGAATCACAAGGCTAGCTAAAAGCTAAAGTATCACAAAGTATCACAAGGCTAGATAAAAGCTAAAGTATCACAAGGTTAGATAAAAGCTAAAGATTCATAAGGCTAGCTAAAAGCTAAAGTATCACAAGGCTAGCTAAAAGCTAAAGTACCACAAGGCTAGATAAAAGCTAAAGAATCACAGGGCTAGCTAAAAGCTAAAGTATCACAAGGCTAGTTAAAAGCTAAAGAATCACAGGGCTAGCTAAAAGCTAAAGTATCACAAGGTTAGATAAAAGCTAAAGATTCATAAGGCTAGCTAAAAGCTAAAGTATCACAAGGCTAGCTAAAAGCTAAAGTACCACAAGGCTAGATAAAAGCTAAAGTATCACAAGGCTAGTTAAAAGCTAAAGTATCACAAGGCTAGATAAAAGCTAAAGTATCACAAGGCTAGCTAAAAGCTAAAGTACCACAAGGCTAGCTAAAAGCTAAAGTATCACAAGGTTAGATAAAAGCTGAAGATTTATAAGGCTAGCTAAAAGCTAAAAGAGAAAATTGAGAAACAAAGGGCTTTATTTTAATGCCGTGGTAAATGTTTGTCTCTGTCAGCTCATCTTACTCGGCTTTGGTTCTTCCTCGACCTCCGGTTTCTCTTCCTCTGGTTTCTTCCTGAAGTTCTTGACCTTGTCCACCAGACTGAGAAGTCTCCCCCTGAGTGAGGAGTCCACCTCCTCTTCCTCAGCCTCCTCCTCGATGTGGATACCTGCGTTAAAAAGTTAGCATTAAAATCCAGAAACGCACACGAAACAACAACATACTGTAATAAAAAGATAAAGTTCTCACCACAGTGAAGGAGGATGCCATTGTGGAAATTGGCCAAAGTTTCCCGCACCTCCTCAGGAACGGGACAGTCTTCATCTTCTGGACTGTGTTTGAAGTTGGTCAACAGAAGAACCTGCGGGACAAACAGAAACAAACTCATCAGAACCAGCTTGTTCAAACGAAAAATTAAAAAGAAGGCAAAAGCTAACTAAAAGCAGCAGAATGCTAGCTAAAAAGTGAAAGGTCAGCTAAATTAGCAACAGCTAATGGAAATCCTCCTGTAAAACACTCAGGTGTACTCTGGTTCTAGGGTGTCAGCGTCCACCCCGGTCGGTACCTGGTCTTGGGGTGGTGATCGGAACTCGCGGGTCCTTCGAGCCGTCTCGGCAGCCGACATGGAGAAGGCCCTCATCAGCTGGTTGTAACGCACGCGTTGRTTCTTCTGAACGCCCTGCATAAAGTTGTCGGAGTAGGCCACGATGGTCTCCACTCTGTGTCGCAGCTCGCAGTCGCAGAAGTACTGCAGCAGAGTGCACATCTGGAGGAGAAGGTAAGAAACCATGAGTTTTCTTATCGATRACGTGGATTAAACTGTTTCAAAGTTATATTAACCTGCAGCTTGACAGATTCTGGCAGCTTCATCTGAAGCAGTCCTTCCTCCAGACCCTCCTCTTCATCTTTGGCTTCTGTTTCCACCTCTGCCTCCTTCTCCTCCTCTGCTTTCTCTCCATCTATTTTACCTCCTTTGGCTTCTCCCTCCTCCTCCCTCTCACCTTCCTCTTTAGTCTCGGACTCCTCCCCCTCCTGCTCTCCTTTCTCCAGTTCCTTCTGCTCCTCCTCTTCCTCCTCATCACCCATTCCCTCATCCTCCAGTTCTTCATCCTCCGCCTCTTCCTCCTTCTCTCCTCCCTCCTCGGCCTTTTCTCCCTCCTCCTCCTCCTCTTCCTTCCCGCTGAAGACGTTGGGGTCGATCATCTTGAGGATGTGTTTGGTGTCTTCATCGTTGAAGATGCCCATGATGAGCAGGGTGCTGATGAGCTTCAGGATGGGGACGAAGTGGAACTCGACGCTGCCACCTACTGGATCACGCATGGCTTGGCTTCCATCCAGCACAGCCTCAGTTAGCATGTTGATAGCTCTGGTTTTTAGGTCCTGAAGATAAAAAAATAAACAAAACTAAAACTTAAGCTGAAATTGAGCTGAAAATATTTCATAGCAAAGTGTTAAAGTAAGCTCACTTTGAAAAACTGAAAGAAGCAAAAAAAAAAAAGCCTAACTTTGCAGAAAAACAGTAAAAAAGGAGCAGAAATCCTGTTGAAAACAACAAAAAACAGCTAAAAGCTAAGTGCTAAAATAACTGAATATAGCTGAAAACATCTGTAAGAAGCATAAGTAGAACAAA